TGCCATGTTGTCCTACAAGAAGAGACAAGAGAAGGGTACAATCTTTAGTGTTTAGCTCCCAGGCATAGTGCACACTCAATGACCTAACAAACACACACTCTTCATAACATCAAAACATTTGGATTTCCGTCCACTTAATATTAGAAACGGAGTCCCATGGTTTTGTAAACATGAGTCAGAAAATGGATGAGCCGATAATGGTGCTTAGCTGACATCCAATACTTACTTACAGACTGATCCCAGAATGTAATGCCGGGGTAACAGATAGCTCTGTAGATCCTGAATGACGGCACTTAAGATGGCACTTCTCCCAGAAAGGTAAACATAGCTCGGTGTCAACACCTCAAGGTTCATTTGCTACTTAATTCATGCACAGAGTGACTACTCCTAAATCATCCATGAACAACATCAATTACTAATGTAACATTTTTTTTACACTACATATATTTTCCTGTATCTTTATATAGGAAAACTAAAGGCTATTCAACATTTTTTTTTTCTTTTGCAAATTGTCCTTTTGCACCCAAAATTCCAATAAAAGTGAGTAGACACAGGATTGTGAAATCTCCATGGCTGAAATCATAACCAAGCTGTATGAGTTATTTTATCTTATGAGAACTTTCTCAACAATATGTTCAATTCACAAACAAAATTATTGCACACACACATATATTACATGGAGTTTTGCATGAATTTGGGCATAAAATGTGCTCTGAACGTCATTTAAGTCACAACAATAGAAGAACACAGTCTGCTGAACATAATACTACACAAACATTAGATGTTGCCATGGTTTAATTGCACATAACATGTAAACATTCACAGTGCAGGGAGGAAAAAGTATGTGAACCTTTGGACTTAATAACTGGTTGACCCTCCTTTGGCAGCAATAACCTCAACCAAACGTTTCCTGTAGTTGCAGATCAGACCTGCACAACGATCTGGAGTAATTTTGGACCACTCCTCTTCACAAAATTGTTTCAGTGTAGCAATATTCTTGGGATGTCTGGTGTGAATCGCTCTCTTAAGGTCATGCCACAGCATTTCAATCGGGTTGAGGTCAGGACTCTGACTGGGCCACTCCAAAAGGTGTATTCTGTGCTGTTGCAGCCATTGTTTTGTTGAATTATTTGTATGCTTTGGGTCATTGTCCTGTTGCATCACCCATCCTCTGCGGAGCTTCAGTTGGCAGACAGATGGTCATACATTTTCCTGCAAAAAAAATAAACTCTGGAATTCAGTTTTCCCATCAAAAACAACAACCTTCCAGGCCCTGAGGCAGCAAAAAACCCGTCAAAACCATGATTGCTCCCTCCGCCATTTTTACAGTGGGGATGATAAAAAATGTTGGTGTGCAAATGGCCATTTATTTTTTTTCTACACATAGTGTTGTTGTGTTCTTCCCAAAAAAACTCAAAAAAAAAAAAAAAAATCTATCCACAGTTAATATATTAAAACTAAAAGTAGTGCTGTGGAACAAACAGGTGCTCTTTTGCAAACTTTCAAACGTGCTGCAAATATTCAAAAAAACACCTCCAAATAAATGGCTTCCCCCGTGGTGTCCTCCCCAATGTACTCCATTCTTGTTTAAAATGTTACCAAATAATTGTAGTAATGTGTCAATAAAAAATGTTAAATGTGCCAGAGATTTCTGTAGGTCCTTTAGCTGACACTCTGGATTCTTCTTTACCTCATGCAGCATTCTGCGCTGTGCTCTTATTGCAGTCATTTTTAACAGGGACGACCCCCAAAAAAAAACTAACGCCTAGGGAGTGTAACAACAGTGCTAAACTTTCTCCATTTGTAGACAGTCTGTCTTACTAAAATGAAAAAAACTAAAAAAACATCAAGGCTTTTGGAGATACTTTTGTAACCCTTTTCCAGCTTCATGCAAAAAAAACAAAAACTATGATCGTTCAAGGTCTTAAGAGCTCTTTTCTGACGTGGCAACAAAAATCTTCTTGACACCAAAAACCCAAAAACAAAACAAAAAAAAAAATAAAACAAAAAAAAAAAACAGCTGTCAGCAACACATAAAAAAAAAAATATCATCACACTGAAAAAATGGAGTCAAGGTTGGCTCACTCCTGGCTCCAAACAAAAAAAAAAAAAAAAATTAACTAACACAATAACAGCTTTTTACCTCCCTGCACTGTGAAAAAAAAAAAAAACACCACAAACCACAAACACCCAAACTAAATAAAAAACACAAAACACAAAAAACAAAAACCACACACAACAAAATAAAAAACACACACACAAACAAAAAATACCCAAACACACACCCCCACACAAAAAAAAACACACACCCCACAAAAAAAATAACACCAAAAAACCCCCACACAAAAAATAAAACACACACAAAACACCCCACACCAACACAAACATATAACCACCCCAAAACAACACACCACATCACACACACACACCCCCACAACACAAAAAAACCCCCAAAAAAAAAAAACCAAAAAAATATACAAACCCACCACAAAAACAAAACATACAAAACAAAAAACACCCAAAAACAACAACCACACAATAAACACAAACACACACACAAACAAAAAACACAAACACCCCAAAACAAAAAAAAAACAACACACAAACCCAACCCACACCCACAAACACAAAAAAAAAACAAACAAAACAACCATAAACACCAAAAAAATAAAAAAAAAAACAAAAAAAAAAACAAAAAACAAAAAAAAAAAAACACAAAAACACACACACAAACCCAAACAACAAACACACAAAACCCCCAAAAAACTCACCAAAAAAAAAAATATAAATATAACCCCCAAACAAAAACAAACACACATAAACACAAACACCAAAAACAAAAAAACAAAAACCACACCACAATAAAACCATCACAAACAAAACACACACACAACAACAACAAGGTCCATAAATAAAAAAACAAAAATTCAAAAAAAAAAAAACAAACCACAAACATTTCAAAACCCCAATTAAAAAAAAAAAACCCAACAAAAAAAAGACTGTCAAAAAAAAAAAAAATTTACCAATCCCCAAAATTCCAAAAACCCCAATACAACCCCTAAAAAAAAAACAAATTTGCTGCCAACCAAAAACCACCCGAAACCCCCACCAAAAACCAAAAAACAAAAAAATAACAACTAACAGCTTCTATGGCAAACAAAACCCCACGTGTTATTCCCCCATTATCCCAATTACCAAACCAAAAAAAAAAACCCTCCCCCCAAAAAAAACCAACAAAAAAACATCAAAAAAAAAAAATCAAATTTAAATCTGTTTGCTGTCAACTCAACAAACAAATTCAAAAAGCAAAACTATCAAAAAAAAAGAACCACATAACCCCATCAAAAAAAAAAAAAACAAAACCCCATCAGAGAAATAACAAAAAACAAAACAAAACCACAAAAAAAACTGTTAAAACAAACAAAAAAACAAAAAACTTAAAAAAAAAAAAAAACCACCACAAAGCTCAGCAACACCAATAAAACTGGAATAAAAAAAAATTAAAAACAACTGTGGTGGAAAAAAAAAAATCTTTCCCACAACAAGAAAACACCCTATAACAAACAGTTGGCCAAAAAAACAAAAAAAAAAAAAAAACTGCCCCACAAACTCAAAAAAAACTAATCCAAAAACAACCCAAAACCTCATCAAAAGCATCAAAAAAATACAAAATAAAAAACAAACAATAAAAAACTGCCAAAACAAAACCACTGAAAAAAAAATTGATGAAACAAAAAAAAAAACCAACCAATACATGAATTCTGACCCCCAATACCACCCCCCAAACTTTAAAAAAAAATAAAAATGCTTCAAAACTCAAAAACCCGCTTTCACAAACAAACACCACCCAACCCAACAAAACAAAAAGCAACCAAAAGTTTAAAAAAACACAAAACAAAAAAAGTTGGAATGTTATGCAAAAAACCAAAAAAAAAAACAATAAAATACCATTGAGCACCCATTTCACTTGCTGAAACAAAAAAACAAAAAAAACCACCCAACCAAACAAGCAACAAACAAAACCTAAATCAACACAAAAAAACCAAAAAAAAAGCATCACCACAAAACCCAAAAAAAAAAAAAACACCTAATGCCCCAACACAAACCCCACCACCCCCCATTGACTGCAAACAAACCCAAAAAACTAACCAAGTACGAAATAAAAAAAAACCCAAAACAAAAAAACCAAAAATTTATGAAAAAAAAAAAAAAAAAACCAAAAACCCAAACAAAAAAAAAACACCAATAAACCCAAATAATTCCAAACCAAACCACTCCCAAAACGGAACAATACCAAACCAAAAAAAAAAACACCCCTTAGTCACAGTTAAACCCACAAAAATTCCCAAAAACATAAAAAAAAAAACCATTGTGGTGGTGTATAAAGCCAAAAAAAAAAAAAACCCACCCAAAACCCCAAAAAAAAACAAAACCAACCAAACCAAACAAAAAACAAAACACACAAAATAACCCAACACACCACATAAAATAAATATAAAAAAAACAAAATAAATAAAACACAAACACACAAACAAACAACACCAAAAAAAACACAACCACAACCACACAAACATAAAAAAACCAAAACACAAAAACACACACACAAAAAACACCAAAAACACAAAACAAAACAAACAAAAAAAAAAAAACATAACCCACACAAAATACTCATTCCGTGGTATTTGGTTGCCTGTGCGGTTTTTATATTTTTTGCACTATACAAAAAAAAAAAAAAAAAAAAAAAAAAAGACAATTTGAGAAAAAAAAAAACAATATTTTTGTCGTTTTGCTATTAAACATGTCCAGTAACAAAATTTAAAAAATCTAATTTTGTCATAAATTTAGACCAAAATGTGTTCTGCTACATGTCTTTGCTAAAAAAAAATCCCTAATACGTGTAAATTAATTGGTTCACATGAAAGTTAATGCATTTACAAATGGCGGTGTAGATACTGGGATTTTTATTCCAATTTTTACTAGTAATGGCACCGATCAGCGACTTATAGCGGAACTGCGGTGGGCATTCTGACACTGGGGAAACCGACTTGGTGTCACTGACATCCCCAGTGACACCAATATAGTGATCAGTGCTAATAAAAAGCACTGACACTGTATAATGGCACTGGGCAGGAAGGGGTTAACATGTGGGGCAATCAAAGGGTTAAATGTGTTGCTGGGTGTGTTTTTACTAACTGCTGGGTGTGTGCTTCACTGTAAGCACACTGCTATGCAATGCCATGCATAGCAGTGTGCAGGAGCTGACAGGGGAGAGAATTGCATTGTTTACATACAGTTCTCTCCCTCAGTTGGTAATGATCCTCGATCACCGGGTGCCGACAAGTAATCACTGGCCGGGACCTGGTGATTGACAGCCAAGGCCGCAAATAGTGGCCGGGTAGGGCACGCGCCCCCTACTCGGAAATGCAAAATCACGTATATATACACACATGATTTTGTGCACCATCTGCTATAGGGCAGAGGGGAAGCAGTTAATTAAAGCAGAACTATGGGCAAAAGGAAAAAAAAACATTTTATACTACAGTCTGGCAGCAGCATTAACATAGCAGTTTTTATTTTTCTGGGTCTTCCTGCAATATACTTTTATTACCTGTTGATCTTGCCAGTCAATCCATAACTTTTCCACTTCCTTTAACTAGGTGACAACACTGTTTGTTCTTCAGTGAAATAACCATGTAGATGCATTAGTCTAGACTTTTCATAACTTACAAACAAATTAAATGTCAGCTCCAGATAACACACTAAGTGTAGCTTTTTTTTTTTTTCTTTTAACAAAGTTTAAATCATATGAAGCTGGCCATTGTAAATTGTATGGATTCCAGTCAGTATAATAGATTTCCCCAACTGTAATGTTTGCTGGACAGCCCAGTTGTCATGTAAAGAGAGAAAAAAAAACCATAAGGATATTTTTATGGTCATTTCAAAAACCTGCTATATATAAAAGTGAAATGAAATAAGATACTCTGGTAAAGAATGATAAAATCAATACAAATAAATGCATTAATTTGTAAGAAAACATAAGTATGAACGTAAAAGTGTGAAAATAATAATAATATTAAATTAACACCAATGTATTGAATGTGAAACAACTGCACAAAGTGAGCCATGTGAAGGAAAGGGGGGGGGGGGGGGGGGTCCCATCCCTCCAATCAGCTCCTTCACTGAGCTCCGCAGAGTGAACTTTCAGCTCTCCGCCCCCTTTTTCCTCAACTCTCAGACAAGCTTTAGAAGTCCAGAACTTTGAACGGATGTAGAGAAGAGAATAATGCAGATAAATGGGTACAACTTATGCAGTTTCATCTCTGTGTATCATCTCAAGCAAGTTGCTTCACTGGATATATGTAAGGGGTTACAACCACTTTAAGTTCACATTCCAGCACAATACCGGTGTGCTGAGAGGACATGCACAGGAGTGAGCAGCTCATGCCATTTCTCTTGGTGGGTTGGACTTGCATCCGAAAATATTGAATCCGTCTGATTTCAATCAGTCTGATTTGTTAACATAACAAATATAATCGCAATCTTGCAGAAAACTGCTAAATTTTTTTAATCCATCTGGACCAATGAATATATAAAACAAATGGCAAAGATACAAAACGAACTCTGAAAATGAATCGGTTCAACATAACGAATCTGATGGAAATTAAATTCTTCAATGAAGAAATGCATCTGAAACAAAACAATTTCTGCTGTGCACAAGTCTAGCTGTCAGTACCCTCCGCAGCAGTCCAGAGGTCCAGGCATTTGAAAACCTTGCTTTTCTCAGTGTATTCTGTGCAGCACTTATGGGTCTGGATCGACTCTGCTTGGTCAGCACCATCACAGTTAATCGATCTGATCTATCCCGGAAGCACTGCACAGAGCAGAGGGAGAAATCAAATCCCTGGACTGATGCACTGGCAGAAGGAGAACTGACATCTCAGCATTGCCAGAAGTATAGCATGGACCAGGGGGGTGGGAATGGTGTACAGTGCTAGTGCACGATTCCATTTTTTCTGTAAAGGTGAACTAAACCTTTAAAGTAGAGGAAAGCATTGCAGACTTTAGTCCCACTTTAGCAGAAAAATTGCTACAGATTATGCTGCTGTTGGGGTCTACGCAAGATATAAGAAGTCCGTCTGGCTTTTACCCACATGGAAGAAAAATATATGTGAACTATATAAAAATATTCTTCCCAAATATATTGACATATATTTGAAATGCTACAATTTTGGCCATACTATTTATATATATATATATATATATTATATATATATATATATATATATATATATATATATATATATATATATGCGTTTTTAGCACAAAATATATGAAAAATATTTTTAAAAATACATTTCACATATACTGTATGTCTTTAAAAATATTAAACATATTCTCCAGATTTTAACATATAACAAAAGTCATTTTAACATATATTTTTACATATATTTATGAATGCATTCCAAAAATATTTTTCATATATTTTGTAATAAGACCACATTTCAACATACAATATATATATATATATATATATATTATATATACAGTTATATATAATATATATATATATACAGTCAGGTCCATAAATATTACATCGACACACATTCTAAAATTTTTGGCTCACACCACACAATGGATTTTAAACAAACGAACAGATGAAACTGCAAACTGTCAGCTTTAATTGAGTATTTACATCAAAAATAGGTGAACGGTGTAGGCACAACAGTTGCATATGTTCCACTTGCAATTAAGGGACCAAAAGTAATGGGACAACTTCAAAGTCAAACTTTCACTTTTTAATACTTAGTTGAAAATCCATTTGCAGTCCATTACTAGCTGAAGTCTGGAACGCATAGACATCACCAGACGCTGGTTTCATGATTCTCTGCCAACTGCAACTGTCTTCAGTTCCTGCTTGTCCTTGGGCATTTTCCCTTCAGTTTTGTCTTCAGCAAGTAATTGTCAATCGGATTTCAGGTGGCTTGACTTGGCCCCATCTGCAGAACATTCCACTTCTTTCCCTTAAAAAAAACTCTTTGGTTGCTTTTGCAGTATGCTTTGGGTCATTGTCCATCCTGCAATTGAAGCGGCGTCCAATAAGTTGTGAAGCATTTGCTGAATATGAGCAATAATATTGCCCGAAACACTTCAGAATTCAATCCTGATGCTTTTGTCAGCAGTCACTCTAATCAATAAATACAAAGAGAACCAGTTCCATTTATAGCATGACAACTACCACACCTGCAACTGATGAGGTGGTATGCTTTGAATCTGAGCAAGTTCCTTTTCCTTCATGTTCCCATACTCTAACTTCTCTTCCCATCACTCTATGGTACATGTGATCTTGGTCTCATCTGTCCATAGGATGTTTTTCACAGAAATGTGAAAAGACTTGCTTTTTTAGATGTCGTGTTTGCAGAAAACTGTAATCTGACCTTCCTGTTTTTGAAGGCTCACCAATGGTTTACATCTTGTGAAACCCTCTGTATTCAAAAGTCTTCTCTTGATTGTTGATTGCACAACACCTACTGGATTTCTGGATGCTGGCCAACTGTTGTGAAGGGTGGTTTTCTTGGAAAAATTCTGGTCGGTCATCCACCACAGTTGTTTTTCGTGGTCTTCCGGGGGTCTTTTGGTGTTGCTGAGCTCACCACGGTGCGTTCCTTCTTTTTAAGAATGTTCCAAACAGTTGTTTTGGCCACGCCTAAATGTTTTTTGCTATCTCTCATGGGTTTGTTTTGTTTTTTCAGCCTAATGATGGCTTGACACAGCTCTTTGGATCTCATCTTGGAGTTGACAGGAAAGAGGCCAAATTCAAATGAGCCAAGTGTTGGGACCTTTTTATTGCTTATTGTAATTGGGATTAAAGAGGGAATAACATGCACCTGGCCATGGAACAGCTGGGAAGCCAACTTGTCCCAATACTTTTGGTCCCTTAAAAAGTGCACAAGAGCACGTTCACGCTGATTTGGAAACAGCTGACAGGATCTTGTTTGTTTCATTTAAAATCCATTGTGGTGGTGTATAGAGCCAAAAAAAATGTTTAGAATTGTGTTCGATGTCCCAATATTTTATGGACCTGACTGTATATTATATATATATAAATATGATACACTACACAACATACACATAACACATTACACACACACAACACACACACACACAGCTGAAACTTGAAAAATTAGAATATCGTGCAAAAGTTCATTTATTTTCAGTAATGCAACTTAAAAGGTTGAAGCTAATATTAGGAGATAAACTCATTACATGCAAAGCAAGATAGTTCAAGCCGTGATTTGTCATAATTGTGGTGATTATGGCTTACAGCTCATGAAAAACCCCAAATCCACAATCTCAGAAAATTAGAATATTGTGAAAAGGTGCAATAATTTCTAGGCTCAAATTGTCCCACTCTAATCAGCTAATTAAGCCATAACACCTGCAAAGGGTTTCTGAGCCTTTTAAAATGGTCTCTCAGTCTGGTTCAGTAGGAATCACAATCATGGAAAAGACTGCTGACCTGACAGTTGTGTGCAGAAAACCATCATTGACAACACACCCTCCATAAGGAGGGGAAAACCTCAAAAGGTAATTGCAAAGTACATTCAAAGTTATGTGGAAGGGAAAAGTGTGGAAGAAAAAAGGTTCACAAGCAGCAGGGATGACCACAGCCTGGAGAGGATTGTCAGGAAAAGGCCATTCAAAAGTGTTGGGGACTTTCACAAGGAGTGGGACCGAGGCTGGAGTCAGTGCATCAAGAGCTACCACACACAGACGGATCCTGGACATGGGCTTCAAATGTCGTATTCCTCTTGTCAAGCCACTCCTGAACAACAAACAACGTCAGAAGCGTCTTACCTGGGCTAAAGAAACACAGACCTGGTCTGTTGCTCAGTGGTCCAAAAGTTCTCTTTTCTGATGAGAGCAACTTTTGCATCCCATTTGGAAACCAAGTACCCAGAGTATGGAGGAAGAATGGAGAGGCACACACTGCAAGATGCTTGAAGTCCAGTGGGAAGTTTCCACAGTCTGTGTTGATTTGGGGAGCCATGTCATCTGTTGGTGTTGGTCCACTGTGCTTCATTAAGTCCAGGGTCAACGCAGCCATCTACCAGGAGATTTTGGAGCACTTCATGCTTTCCTTCTGCAGACTAGCTTTATGGGGATGCTGACTTCATTTTCCAGCAGGACTTGGCACACTG